AAAATAAAATTTAAGTAAATTTTGCCATATATTAAAAAAAAATTTTCTAAATTTACTAATTGTGATAAAACGAACTTTTATAATTTAATTAATATCCTTTTATTATATTTCTATCATAAACAAAACAAATATTAACTTTATAGTTATTTTTTTGCAATTCAAAAATTAATAAAAACATATTTTTATTTAAATTAATAATGTAATTAAAATCTATAATTTTTTTGAAATACAGATAATTTTTTTTAAGTTTACCTTTAGTTTTAAAAAATTTTTAATTTCGGTTTAAAAAATTATACTATTAGACTTTTGTTGACACACTCTTTTTTTGTCACGCAATTAATACACTAGGTTAATTTGACCCAAATTTGATCATTATGCATTTAATAACATTTCAATCGATATTCTGCAATAAAATTAATATTTATATTTTAAACAATTTATAACATTGAAATAATTGAATTAATTCTTTATCCAGATAAAAATACCTTAATGTGTCAACAAAAGGTTAGTAGCCTTTTTTACCAATTAAATGTTTTGAAACCTTTTTCGGAAATATTAAAATGTAAAAATCGAGAAATATAATAAATTATACAGCTCTTACTGACATAAGGGCGAAAATCGATTAACTGAGTTAATTGATTTTTGTCCTTATGGTAAATAAAATGAGACTTATAAAGTTTAATATAAAAATAATTTTATAAAAGAGTAATGAAAATAAATAAATTAAATAATTAAGTCACTTTCATTATACTAAAAATTTGCATTTTTTTAAGTTTCGGTATTATTTATTTACATTAATAAACTGCTAGTAAAATGTTTTGTTATTCATGGGTCGTGTGGATAATACAAAACCTTTTTCCCTTATCACCAGGGTTCTTTCTTTAATTAATTTTACCGTAACGGTTTGTCATTTGAATTGATATATTCATATTGAAATCACTTAAATATTTGCATATCTACCTTTTTATTGTATATCCTTATTCATTTTTTTGCATGTTTTGCCGCCTGAATAATTTCTTTATTTTTGTTTGAGAATAGCACAAGGCCGGAAGGGTTGTAAGGGGTTGTCCTATTACAAAATAACCCTGAGTTATGTACTTAGGTCCTTTGAATCCATTAACATTGATGCTTCCAAAAGTAAAGCTTGGTAATTTGCTTGTCACCAGAACTAAATTCGAAATTCTGCGATTTTGACTTTTATGACATTGTCATATTTATTAGCCACATCAAATATGAAAAGCTGTAAAATTGTTTTTTTGTTAACACATTTTACAAGTATTGACTATACCAAAACGTATAGTTAAAAGAACTAATAAGAATGTAGTTGGAATAATAAGTTTTTCAAGTCATTTTTGGAATTTAACTATACATATTTAAGTTGCAGTTAAACTACAATTTTTAAACTATGTCAAAAATAATGGTAGTTATTTTATTTTATTATTTATTTGGGTTAAATTTTTTTCAGTGTCCTAAATTGTTTATTTGTTTGTAAACAAAATTTATTTGTTAAATAATAATAATAATAATAATAATAATAATAATAAACATTATAGTCAAATACTTATTATTAAATAATAATTTATGAAAATTAAATCTTTTTACAATGAAAAAATAAAACGATTTTATGCAATAAACTTATTTGCATTTGTTAAAAATTGAGAAAGAAAATAAAGAAAAGAATTTTGTTTTAATTTTTGTTTTGTTAATTGCAAAGAAATGTTTATTTATATACAATAAGTAAAGTTGACTGCTTCGAAGAAAATTTCAGAGGTAAAATATTTTTATTCAGTGTACGAATTTGAAGAAATTCTCGGTATTGATCGTTTGAACGAGAATCTGTCGAAACGGGATGATACGAAACGAAAATTTAATGACAATTGAACGACTATGCGAATCTTATTGGTTATTTATCACAAGTCCTCTCGGAGTGAAATAATAATTAACTGATGTTATTGCTGTAATAATTAGTTGTCAATTTCAAGGAAAATAATTAATTTTTTTAGTTTATTTATTTATTATTTTAAAGAAAAGTTTGAATTTGTAAATTTGATAGACGAGATTTTATTTGGAAATTGCGAGCAAATTGCTAAGCACGCTAATTCATAAGCACTGTAAATCTAGTCATGTCTGCCGCATTTTACTTTTTAACGAAATTTCACATTTCCTTTTGGCATCCGGTATTTTTACACTTCAGGACGCTTTTAATTTATATTGTGAGCTCGCTCATAAAACCTTAATTCAAACGCTACAAGAGAATTGGATTCCACACAAGTGGAAATAATACGGGAAACCAGCTCAATTTGGTTTAGACACCAAACCGAATGCGGAATTCGTTTGTCTCTAATTCAAAATGAATTTTTCTTCTAGGGTAATAAATTCAAGGGGAATTAAACTCGCTTTAATAGGAGTTCGACAATTTTACCAATTGTCAACAATTGTTTTTGAGGTCAACTTCTAAACTCACTTTGAAACAAAAGTAAAAGCGAGAATATCGAACAACTCGAAAGTAAAAATGAATAAATTTGTAGTTTAATGTTCGCAATATGTAGGAAATAGTTTTCTTCGTATGTCAATATTTCCAAGTTTTCTTCTTTTTTTTCTCTAAACTTTTTTGGAAATTCTCTTTAATAAAATGACAGTTTAGTCAGTTCTTAAAAAGTTTATAAAAATTTATATATTGCCTTATCGACTATCGTTTTCAAAACAACATTTTGAAAAGCAAAATGCATTGATCCATCTAATTAAAATGATGCTACATTAATCCATCTAATCTACTAAGAAATGTTACCCCACCTAATCAAAATGATATAAAACCCCATATTTTATTCTAGGGTGAGCGAAGCTTGTCTATGTCATTAAAATGACATATTACTCTAATTTTCAAAACATTTGACCCCACCAATTAGAAATAACACATTACACTAATTTTTAAAATAACATTTCATTACTCTAAATTGAAATTGATATTGCCCCTCTTGAAAATAATACTTGACTCGCTTTTTAAAAATATTCTATAACTTGTACATTTTTAAAAGTGACTATTCCATTTGCTAAAATAATACATTACTATACTATTTTATTTCTCAAGAGAAATTCATACTATTTATCGCCGCATTAATTTAAAATTTAAATTACACTTCATTTATTTTGTTCACTGCAAAAACAATTATCTTATATTATGTTTACATGTGGTAACATATACATTCTTAATCTGAATCATTTAAATTTTTTTTCGGATCCTTAACTAGTAAAATTTTATTGTGGTTCGCAATTGTGCTAATTAACAAAACTAAGTTTGAGTAAGACTTCTGAGTTGAAATTAAGAGAGAATAAATGATTAAATGATGATTAATTGATTAAATTAAATGGTTCAGTGTGTCATTTCAGTCAGATAATAAAATTTGGCTAACTTTGGATCCTATAATATGATTTATTAAGATAGTCTGAAAACGACTTTGTTGTGGTCGTGACACTAAACTAATTATATGGTTATCGTATACCTTTAGTTTCCCCACGTGGAAGACATTAAAGGGATTTAACTTGAACGTTCTACACATATAGGTATGCTTATATACTACAGAGTCCACCGAGAGATTCCGTAATTATTTTCAATTGCCTCTATATTCTCTAACAAGTGCCTCACATTGATTCTTCTGAAATTTTACACTTTATTGAAATATTGAAAAATATTTGTCATGTATTTTTTCTTCCTTTTGCCGATTCTGTTTTCTAAGGGTAGAAATTACCCTTTTATATATTATGTAAAAGGGATGAAATCAATATCTCCAAGAGTTAAATATTTCAAATAAATCCATTTCGAATGCAAAATACTGTAAACATGGTCAGACTTTGTTTTGTTCTTTAGACTACATCTAAAAAAAATTTTTTTTAATCCAAAAATAATAATAATAAAAATGTTCTATTAAATCTATTTACAAATTTCTTCAAAAGTAAAATTATTCGAAAACATCAATAACTTCTTTTCTAAATAAATATTTAATTATTATTTTTCATTGAGAATTAAAATTCTTCAAAACATTCAAACCTTTTTGAAATTAAACAATTTTAAAAAAATTTCAAAATTCAATTATTTCTAAGAATTCACGCTATAATACTTTTAATATTCAATTATTAACTGAAATTCAATTGCATAAATTTTTATTAGAAAATTGTATGAGAATTCAATTATTTATAAATAAAAATATAAATAATAATTTAAATAATTGAATGTTTCTTAAAATTGATATTCTTATTTCTTTTGACGAATTTTAACAAAAATTTTTAAAATATTTAAGTTTTTTTGAAATTCGATTAAAATTCTATTAAAAAATAATTGAAATTCTGTGATGAGTTTTATTCTTTATGAAAAATTTATAATTGAATTTCTGCAATAATTTGTACTTCTTGGATTTTTCGAGTAGAAATTGAGTGGAGATTAAAAATATTTCCGAAGGATATCCGAAGGGATTGCTGTCCGGATATTTAAAAAATTTAGTGTTAAAAAGTGCTATAAGATTTCTGTGTGGATTTCCGTCCAAATGTATTTAAAGCTCTACACGAATTAAATTTAAAAGTCGACATTTTGGATCCGCCATTGCTCACGAGTAACAATTGACACGGAAATCTAGGAAATTTTTTCAGATATATGTAGTGACTTTATTCCTTCAAGTATATAAGTATGGGATGTCTTCATCCTTAAAACACAAAATGGTCTTTAGACATATTAAAAAAATAACAAATCATGTACCTAGAGGACGCAGTAGTGTAAGTGAATGTGATAGTCAAAGTGAAATTGCATAATTGAACAATTTTTCAGCATGTATAAAAATGAAAATAAAAATGTTCAAAGTAAATATTATTAAAAACTACTGCAATATATTCAGACTTGAAGACATCAATTTTTGTTGTTATTCCTCGACAGGACATCTTGAACATTTTTAAGGTATTTGGTATATTGTAAGTGACTGATCATAATGTACTATCTGTAAAAAATCCAGTTTTTAAAATTATAAATATAAAAATGTATTAATTTTGTAAATATTATCAATTTCATTGAATAAGTCTTTGAATTTGGCTAATAAGTACGTAAAACATTTCCAACTGATTTAGTTAATATTTTTCCAAAAGCCATATTACTAGAAAGTAAAGAAGTTGTAAATCTTACGATTCTTTTTTCGATATCTTTAGATTAGAAAAGAAGACGCGCACGCATAGTAAAGTTACGTGAATCGGACGCATGTGTTAGTACTGTTCAAAATGGTTCTGTATAGATACATGGAAGCCGATGCAGCCAATGCTGCGTTCGACTGTACAGTTCCCGCCCGTCGGTTCTGCGAGATGGTAGGAGTCAGTTCAACAGTCTCCTCTTTGATTTTTCTTTCACGATGTTTCTATAAAACTACGATTCGGTTCACATTCTTCTTCATTTGCAAAATCTCCAAATTAGTTTCTTTTCTCCATCCATCCTCTTTAACGATTTAGGAAGACAATTACTTGAGCGCAATATTTTTTTCTACATTTACAGTTGACTCGAGTGTTACTTAATGTAAATAAATTTTTAGGAACTGTATCAAAACTTTTATTTGTATTTTGTAAAATACACTATTGTTTCTATCATTTCTATCATTGTATTAGATCAACTCAAAAATACTTTTAAATTATTTGTATTAGTTACGTTATTTTTAAAAATAATTTATTCATTAAGTATGTTACATGTTACAAAAAATCACATGAATAAATATTACTTTATTGTTTGTTATAAAAGTTTGAAAAAATTGTAAACTGATTGTTATTTGAATAAAATTCCGGAAACTGAAACCGCAACTATTCTTTAAAGAGACGTACATATTAAAGCATTATCAAATCTCCTGGTCTTTAATAACCTCCTTTGACACACTTCTGCCTTGTTTGCTTCGGTTCATCTTCCGTCCGCTTTTCCATAAATGGTGAATTCATTATGCTAATCTGTGCTCGATATTAATACACTTCAAGTTTAATAATTTTCGAAAATTATATATTTGTGATTATTGTCAAGTTTTTCATTATGCGACTGTATTTCAAGATTTACGAAAACATTTCTATCAACAAGGTAAGTTGTTGGATTAAATTTTTTTATATTATTCCCTGCGAAACATATTCTAAACACTCGTTTGCTACAATTGTTGAAATTGGTTCAAATTTCAAGTACTCTCAAAATGGTCATGTTATTTTTAAACTTTGGAAAATTAAAAACTCTGTTTTATTGTGTTTTGTTGATAAAAGACTTCAAAAAAAAGGTTGAATTATAAATACAGTTTTTAAATATTTGCACTACTGTAAAAAGGACAAAAATTTGTAAAAACACTTGTTGCCCGATTGGCAATTTAAACTGGCTGTTAAACCTCTAAAATCTGAGTACATCGAGACTTTAGGAGTATTTAACGTGGTTTAGTCGTAATACAATTTATAACATCTTAAGCCCTTCCAAAGTAGCATTTACTACTAGAGGTACTAAAGAGATTTTTGTATGAACATCTTAATGTCTGCCTCTTAAATGTTTTAACTGGAAAAGTTGTCGATAATTTTTACGAAGTGACTATCAATGTCGTTAATGATAAAACCGTTGGGATAGGAAGCTTGGTTATCGGATATAATATTTACTTTCAAAATTTAAGATTAACGCGACTTCATTTATATTATTTTTTATATATATTTAAGTATATAATAAACGTAATATGTACGAAATAATTAAATCAATTAAGAAGCTTTTTCATGTGCGGTAAAAATGTTACAATGAAAATTAGTGCGAGGATTAAAGAAAATGTGTTTAATATTTTTTGGTAAAAATAAATGTTTTTCAGAAATTTTTGTTCCAAAAATATTAAAAAATTAATACTTTTAAAATGTTAGTACTTCATAAAATTAACATTTCTTTTTTAGTTTCAAATTATACAATATTGGTTGATTGATTCAATATACATCAGTGAATTCAAATTGTAACTCAGAAAATTAAAGTTGGAACAATATTACTGTTCAAATTTTAAACCATTTAACTACAAAGCATTTATTTTGTCGTTTGTCAAATTATAACATTATTTTTAATCAATGTGGTATATTTATCTTTGAATCATTTATGCTTCGGTTTTGCTTCAATTTTACTTTTGAGAGTAGGATTTTAACTTCTAAAATTGACTTAATTTAGTTTTAAGAAATATAGGCTATACTTTTTAAATATTTTGGTTTTAAAATGTAGTTTGATGCTTTGTTTTTACTGTGTTCAATTATTTCACGCAGTTTTTTGATCGATAACTGGGGCACGACAGCTGAATTACTGATACTTTTTACGTTCTTTAATTGAAATAAACGACTTAACTTTTTACTTTCGTAATATTTTTTAAAAAATAAAGTTTCTAAGTTTAGAAAAATTTATGGAAAAAGTTAATGATGAATATATTCTGAATATTAATTCTTTAATCCGTATAGGTATATGTGTAATTTAGATAAAATTGACTTATATTTAATTACTTAATTTACTATAATATATTAAATAAGATAAATGATCCTAAGAATATTGTAGTGGTAATTCTTCCTATTTTAAAACCATGGCATATATTAATTTTCAAATTGTCTAAAACCTTTTTTATTTATACACAGTTTTGTCAACCATATACGGACGTAATGAGAAACACACTACTATTAAATTATTATTATTATTATTATTATTGTCATTATTATTGTTGCTATTATTGTTATTATTATTATTATTATTAATATTATTATTATTGTTATTTTTATTGTTGTTATTATTATTAATATTATTATTATTATCATTATTATTTGCTGTTTTAGAAAGCAACTGTCAAATGTAAAATCCTAGAAAGCAGTATTCGACATGAGGGCGAAAGTTAATCAGCCATGCCGATCGATTTTCGCCCTTACGGCAAAAGCTGCTTATACTGGGTTTTTATTCTAGACATCAGAAAATTGGTTTCGTTGAATGCAAGGCGCATGTTAGGCGGGGATTCTAGAACGCAACGCTATAGCGTTTCAACCACCCAGTTGTCACGTTTTGTTTTCATTCTATATAAAAAATTGTTTCGCAACAAATATTACAAGTTTTTCTATGTAAGTAGAGTTTAAAATGGAAAACTAACATAGTTTTGTAACTTAGTTACTGAAGTATTATATACATAAAATTCTTCTAAACAATTTGTTGTACTAAGGTAGTTGCAGAACATTAATATTGCTACAAAAATATATTTTATAACAAGGTCACATTATAGATGGTATTTAAAAATCCGATGAATATTTGCATCGAGAAGACGTAAAAACTGACAGATATTATAAAATTCAATTGTTTTAATTGTTAATTTTGACAATATACCACAAAAAAAGTTAACTCATTTCTGCTGCTTATTATTTTGAGTTCTGCATCAAAATGAGTTAACAGTAAACTTAGGTTAGGTTAGATAATTAAAATTAAATTTTCATTTAAACATTAACTTAAAACGAACCGATATGATTCATAATGACACTTTTTGCCTGAAACTCAAAATGAGTAAAAAACCAAGATCATTTTTGCTGCAGTTCAAAATGAATCGCGTTCGGGGATCATTTTGAACCCAGGTTGTTTCTGTTATATGTTCGAAAGAGCATTTCGAATAGGCCTATTTAATTGATTACACGCCTCAAAATTTAGCTATTTGAAGAATTATTTTTACGATCCATGTCAATTTTGTGTTTTACTTAAATGATGCATTTAATGTTTATTAGAAAAAAGACGAAATTTCTTATTGGTCGACTCTCAATACATTGGATCATCGCTTGGGATACTCTAAGGATTTGAGTTTGCATCTTTCTTCTTCTGGCTTGAAATACCCAGACAAGTTATCCACCTAGAGTGGAATTCAAGTGAATCCACTTTGAAAAGACTTATCATTACTCTCTTTAGCAAGCAGGCTTCTTTAGTTTAATCCTGAATGTTATTTAACATTTCCATCCATTAGAAACATTTCTCTTTTGTGAATAATTCAGTAATGTTTTTTAATAATTTGAGGTTAGTTTTTTAATCAGGGAGGATAACAACCACCATTGGGCCGAAATGATTTTACAGCTTTAGCTATACTATCAAATTGTTTCAACTTTAAAATTTTAAATATTCTACTATCCTTTGTTTATCATTTATATTAATATTAAGTTTTTGTTAACAATCATATTTTTAATAACTACATAACACATACGTTAATCTTTTCACTAGATATTTGAACTTATAATATTGTTAACAAATATCTTCGTTTTAATATTGAGCGTTAATGTTCTACACCTACCTTAACAGCATATTATTTGTAATTCTTTAATTTGAATTTTTTCAAAGTCTTTACATGATTGAACAAATTTTACTGATTCGCGTTTGTCATAAAAAATTGCATAAAAACCATCATCCGCAGTTTGAAAAATTAAAAAACAATAAATATTGTTATATTGTGATACAACTTTAAAGTAATTAAATGTTTTAATTGTAGGTATTCAAAGCGCCTGGACATCATCTAGAGGAATTCAAGAGGAGACATATAAAGGTTAGTTCAACATATCACGATTAAATATTCCTATTAAAATTCACTTGCTTAGTAAGTATTGTAATTGGTTAGGAAGATGGTTTTATGCTACCTTGGCTCTATTATAGATCAAATATTTTAAAGATAGAGCGTTAGGGCCTCACGTTATAAAATTAATACATATTGAGATAAACATAGAGATATATAAATGTATAGTTGGAAAGCCAAAGAAGCGAACTTTTTAACGCATTTAAAGATCAAAACTCTAAATTTAAATGTGAGGAGTGGGTTTTATAAATCTTTACTATGACTATATATTTATTTAGGCGAAACACTTGTGTGGAAGTCGATCCACATAAGTTTGTTATTTCCAAAGAACTACGTTTATATACGATTCCTTATAAGAGTTTACATGAAAGTTCACAAAAGAACCCACGCAGATTTCTATTTCTTGTACGAAATTAACATACATGTTCGATTTGGTACATATTCCCACGTGGACTTAATTCGTGGGAATTCGAAATGACTACCGCATGTGGAGTATGTGCATAATAATACAGAGCCCTGCGTAATAGCGTGCAAGTAAACTCACACCTGCGCAGTTGCGCAGAACAACTGCGACATTGGATGAATTTATCATATGAATAATTGTGTAAAGGAGTTAACTTCTACCTGAAGGAAGCTTAAAAAAGAACAGTGACTAAGGTGTAGAAAATAAATTTCAGTTTAATGAAAATATAACATTAATGAAAGTTCAGTATTCTATTAAAACACATAGCATAATGCCCCCTCCCTTATAAGAGTTTGATAAAGTTTGTGAACTTATTACTAAAGTAATAATCTTTAAAAAACAGTAATTAACTCTTTTTACAAGCAATAGAATTACAGATACGAGCAAGAAATAATGAAAAATTTCAAAATTGCCATGCAAGAATTTGACATGAGATTTTTTTGAATCAAATAGGTATAATATTTAAGAGGACATGGATAAACCTTTGAAAACCATTTACGAACCTTTTTAATCAGATTTTTTGAGTATGTGCTGCAAATATTTGAAAAACGCATGTTTGAGTTTTAGCTCATAACTCTAAACCCCTACTTGCGGTAGAGTAGAGTGAAGAGGGTCGGATCTATTTTGTGTCAACTAATAGTTTCAAGAACTATATGTCTCGTATCCATTCTATCTTAAAGTCAATTACTTTCCTTGAAATTTAATTAACAAATTAAAATAAATTAAACAATTTATATTTCTATTACTCGTGGGTAGGTATAAATGGTTATCAATTTCTTTCCACTGTTTCACTTCACACTTATTTTAATTTATCCAAACTCTACCTTCATTTATTATTCACTTCAATTCGCATCACTTTATTTTCACTTTTTTCTTAACTTGGGTTTTTTGTGTTATAAGATAAGTGTGAAAGAAATATTAAAAGCAAAAAATGAAAGAGTGATGATAGAAAAAATAAACGAATATTTTAATATTTAATACACTTTGAAATGCTGAATAATGAGAATATTTTGTATTTCTTCTTTCATTGGTACCACAATTTTACCACAATTATAGTTGTGTTATTAAGATAATGATTTCGCGTTAGGACCCTATCGGATAAAGCTTTTCATTCTTTGCTGATGTAAAAATCATTCAAATTATTTATTTGTTTATAGAACTTACTTATTTTTATAAAATTTAGTTAAGTATACAGTAAGAATACTGTCAGTCCAGTCAGTCCACGAGTGCGAAGAGGACACTCTTATGCGGCGTTCAATGTGCGCTCACTCGCACTCACGCTTAGGGGTGATTCATATAGTCAGATACTCTTACTGTATTTCTTACGCTAATGTTGCTGTTTTTGAACAAGTTTTTAACAATAAATTTAAAATAATAAAATTTGCCATCACAGACATTTTAAAATGTATCTCGAAAACTATTATTTCCTAAAAGGATTTTCAATTATTTGATGATTTTAATAATAAATTTTAAATTTATTATGTTTCTTCATAGAAATTTTTTGTTGGAACCGTAGTTGAGATTATTTAATAAAGTTTTCAAACTTTATTTTTATTTATCTAGTGAAATAAAAGGGAAGTAATTCTGTTTGTAAACTTGTGTAAAAATCACATACAAATAAAAACTAGGAATCTAGTATATCTATAAATATTTTATTAAGTAATACATAATTTGTTTACTTTAATGATGTCTTAACTCCAGTCCCCAAAGTCAGTTATTACTAATTTATTATTGTTTAAAATTATATTAAAAACTGGTTTAAAGCTCAAAACGCTTTTAGAGTCATTTTGCTATTAGTTATATAATTGATTGAAAGGAAGACCACTTTAGTTATCGAGAATCACCTAATAACCCAAGTATATTACAAGAAAGTTTGGCTCGTTGGTTAAACTCGAGACTCACGCGCAGGTAGGTTCAGGGTTCGATTCCTGCCTTGAATCGCCTTTTTTCTTAAACTAAAAGACATTGTAATATTATAAATTAAAAGTGAGTTGCAACAGAATTTTAGAAAAGTTATATAATATTGTTTGAATACAGTGTGAGAACTTGGTCGAGGAACAGATTGTCTGCGAGTGTTCTAGAAACGTTCTGTAACATTTACGCAATTTATTTAAAATAAAGGTAAGTTGACATAGTTTCCACCTATAAAGATTCTCATGCGAATTTGAATTTTGAAATATTGGGGAAAAAGTAATAATTTTAGCGCGAAATTTAATCTATTATTAGACATCTCATCTCAATCTCTACTATTTTGAACCCTTCATTTGAAAGCAGGCGGGATTCACCCGTAGGGGAATAGTCGTCGTTACCTATGCGTTCTTTTTAAATGCCTCAGAATAATGAATTATATATTCTCTTTCAGTAGAGTATAGATTATCATATTTTTTACTATCCATAAAAAGCAACCCTTCCATGGTCCTTCTTCTTTTTCTCTTGTTCCTTGCCGGCCTCTCTTTGATAAAAAAGGTTTCTCTCCCGAACCGTACATAAATTTTCTTTACCTGCGGGGTCTTTGCATACATTTGTGACTACATACGCTAACTAACTCCTGCTTGCCAAGCAATAGAAACAGACAGACACACGTCAGATAAAAAAAGCAACATATGCAGTGGGTTGGACCGTATTTATAAACATACGCATGTTTAGTGACCCGACGATGCATAGCATTTTTTCAATTATTACTCTTCAAACATTGTTCACGAAAAGATACCGCAAAAAATTTTGTCTGCCACATACTATAATACGTAATACTAGATTTTCCGTTACTTTCTTTTGTTTTTATTCCCATACCTATATATACTACCTATCTTACAAACTCACTCCTCGTCATGTTTTTTAAATGATTTTAAAACACTTCTTGAATACTGCAGGTATCCTTTAAATATAATTATATAGATAATATTTATTTCAAAAATATTTTTCAAGTTATAAAAACAAGTTGTTGACAATTTTTTAAATTGTAATGAATTTTTTTTAAATTATTGAAATGAACAAGTTAATAAAATAGAATGTGGGATAAATTTTTTCCCCTAATGAATGTATGCGATTGTTCATATACGACGAGGACAACTTTTCAAAGATTTTTAACCCCTTCAATTGAGGACATTTAATGACTTCTCTAGAATCTCAAAAGTATTCACGTGGTATATGGATGACCTCTAAAAATCAACCACTTTAACGAGTCAGGTTGCGTGTTCAAACCCATAAATAAAATTTAAATAATCACCAAAACTTAAGCTCAAAAAATTTTTAAATTATAAGAATGATTCAAATTGTTAACTTGAGGTGAATGGTAATGGAAAATAATTGTAGTGTTCTCCTTCTTTTTGAAATGTATGCAAATAACTTTCATTCAATTTCACTCATCATTTTTTAATTGGAAACTTTTATTCGCAAAGCCAGTTGCGATATTTACTCGACTGAATTTTTACAATGTGTCAGTGGTGTGACTACGCCTCTGACAGACCCTTCATTGCGGCAACCCTTTCGATCGTAGGGGGTCTGATTAAAATAGTAAATATTTTTAAAACATATTTTTAGTTCTATTTAATAAGTGTTTATTTCTTCCAAGTAAATAAAGTAAAATTCGTATTTTTATTAATATCTCAAAATTTATCTTCTATGGATAGAGAACAACGAGGTCCAACTTAATTTATTAATATCTCTATCCTTGTTACTTTTTATGGAACTTATATAACTAATTTTTATTATCTTTTACTTTCTAGAGTTTTAGATAGGTATAGGTTCTTATTTAAACATTTTTTTTAAGACTATACACATTTCTAGAAAGGATCCTAGATTTTATGCATATTCCTCATAAGATTCTATAACTATATATTAATTTGCCACAGAGTGAATATTTGCCCATTATGTAGACATACCTGTGTGGAAATTGAAAATTGGTCCTAACTTGATCCTACCTATACACCTATACATTGCCCCTTTATTAACTATAGATCCATTGTTGGAAGTATACTGCTGGGTCCTATAATGTTTTGTGATGCAATGCTAGCCTGCTGCTAACTTGTGTATCTAACATAAGATTAGAAAAAAATTTAATTTAATTAAAAGAGCAACCTATTGCATATTATATATCTACCTACATTTCAAAAAGATATTGCCGCCGCTCTTTCAACTGATTATAACCCAGCTGGTCAATAAAGTGTCCATTATTACACTAGGGCAATAATGGGCACTTTATTGACCGCTGGATAAAGTGACCATAATATGCCTGAGTTGCATAAAGAATTTTATGAAAATTTGTATTTTCCAGTAAGAGAAAATTATACTTAAGAAAATATATATTATATTTAAATTAAAATACAAGAATATTTTCAGATGATGTTCAGAAGTTAAAGTCATAGTTTATAAGTTTAAGCTCAATATGCAAAGTTATTGTTATAAAAAGGATCATACCTTTGTCTCAGGCCTTCATTGTATATAAAAAGAGTATTCTCTACCTGCTGGAAGTTTTGTCCCTGATTTTTATAGGGCGCCTGGTCTACTTGATTTAAGGTAGTTACATATAACTTATTATAACTTCGAGGGGTGGTTTCTACCCTTTAAAGCGGATCATGCCAACTAAAATAATACGTGTTTATTATTAGTCGACGCTCTTCTAATATTTTTATTAAATTACTATTTATAATTACCATTCTTTATCAATTATTATTTAATTATTATTTATAATTACCATTTTTTTATCAATTATTATTTAGTAGTTTAATTTAAAAAAAATGTTTTGTAAAAAAATACATAAAATGTACAGTATCGTGGGGAAAAGAGATTGTTAATAAAGAAGTAACAAATTTATTTTGTTGTCCTAATAATTCAAATTTGTTGTGATAACAATAAGTCTGTTTAAGCAACGGAAAATTTTGTAAGAAATAACAATAACAAAAATAACAGAAATTTGTTAGTTCTATGCCAACCTTTCTTTTTCCTTCGTGTAGAATTAAATGACATACGTAGGGGAGAGTCTCCAGTTATGAGACGGGTTTCATTTTTGACCCGTAAATTGTAAACGGGTAAACGAAATTGTAAATAAAATACACCGTTCAAAAGGTAACAGAAATACGCAACTTTTATTAAAAGAAAGTATAGTGTTTCGATGAACTCAAAACATGTTACGATACATTTTCCGAGCACATCGCTTTTTTCAACAAAAAAAAATGTCTCCAGTTGTGAGACACTCATTAAAAATTGCTAAAATTTAATAAGTTTGACATAAAACGTTATGTTCAGTAGAAATAATTAAATATATTAATAATATATATTATTATATACTAAATAATAATATTTATTCGCCAAAATATGACTATCAAATAAACACAATTAAATAGCTTCAAAAAGAGCATTAAAATTGATTTCTTCTGAATCAATTGACTTTTATCTACTTGACATGCCCAAAAATACTAGAAAAAAAATCAAAACAACATTTAAATAGTATGCCTGCAAAGTCGTATTTTTTATGCTGCCCAGATGGGTGTTGACACCGTCTCACAACTGGTGATATGCTGTGTCTCACACCTAGAAATTGGCGCTATTTTGAAAAAGGAAAATTAAATTATTTTCAACCGTAGATTGGAACAATGCAATATTGCATCACAAAATATAAGGAAAACACTAAAAGAAAATACATTACATTTACCTTTTCCAATTAATTAACTTGGAAAAAAAGTACTTTGCATTTATTGAAAAAACGCTTTTTAGTCGATTATCACACACAGTGTTGGTATTTAACAAAAACAGTTTATATATCCGCTTCGGCGTACACGAAAAAGTTGGCTCATATAAAAAGAAATGTTTTTATATAAACCAATCGGCTTTTTAATATTGCATGTTAAAAATAATTGACTGTCTCACAACTGGAGGTGTCTCACAACTGGAGACTCTCCCCTACTTATGTGATCTCGCATAGTGATAGAGGGTGGAACTGGATTCTTATTGACTCGTACTACTTAACTAGTTCCTCTTCTAACATTCATGTCTCGTATTAATTGTGAGAAAGTTAACAGACAGACATTCTGCAGTGCTTTGACACTTTCAAATTTCACAGAATCAAATTTTCAACTTTCCGAAATGTTTTCTTATCTTTGACAAATAATGAAGTATAATTACAATTAGTGCCGCAGATAACAAATATATCAACCATTTGAGTAACTTTACACTAAAGCCCTAAAGGACAACCCACAATAAATACGCGAAAGTCACTCGCGAACCAGATGTATGGGATAGAGAAGGACACAGATATATGTCTGTCCTTTTCCAACTCATGCTTCACGTTCGCGAACGACTTTCTCGAAGGTATAAATTGTTCGTTGGCCTGATCGCGTTTCTATTGTGAATAGGGCTTAACTTTGTACACGCATTTGTGCCGATCACATGCGTCATTGGGCCTTAACATATTCAAATATTGGGCCTGTAGAACGTAAAACGAAAATCTTTACCTGAGAGAGAAAAAGGCGGAAATTAGTATAATATTAAAGTGGTCTTACGTGTTATCAAAGTATCCACTGCAAGGTAGATATTGAGATGATATTACATATACTTTCGCTTTAAAGAAAATTCAATGGGTTTTCGTTTCTATTTCCCATTGTTTACACTTTTTTAAAAAAACTTTCTGTTTAGCATTTTATATTACGTGTAATATCATAGTAAGATCACGCTTATAATACGGGTAAATATTAAGTAATAATATCAAGATATACGCGATATCAAAAATAGTACGCGTTCTTTAAGAAATATTAAATGTAAATAATTAATAAATATACATAGTGAATTAAATAAATTAATAAAAAATAAAATTTATAAAAGAATTTTAATTGTAAAAGTAATTGAAAAGAAAATTTAAAAATAATATTGAAATTTTCCTCATTGCAGAAATATTTCTGAAATGTATCTGAAACATTATTGTTCTGGGTGGAAAGTTTAAATAAAATCGGTGATTTATACTTTGGCAAATTTACTTGTAAATTGAGAATATTTGAAAGTATCAAGAGAGTTGAATACTGTCTCAGAGTGGGGATATTAGAATAAGAGTGAGAACGAGGTTAGTCATCTGTCTCTATTTTCAGAGAATCGGAGCAACAGGGAATACCTGCGAATACTGCGGGAGAGTTGAGGAGAGTATCAGCGAGTCTAACGATTTGTTTCGAGCGTCCACAGTAAAGAAGGTCTATAATTTATTTCTCACTAGTTTCTTATTTACAAGGACTAAAATGTAGTGCGAATAAGACTAGTTTTAGTTTTTAGACATATTGCAGTTTCGGAATGGAAAATGTAAATTATGTTGATAGTTAAATAACAGAATGTCATTTCTTATATCAACTTAATTAATTTTAATTCTTATCCGGGAAGAAGAGATCGTTTAAAATATATTAAAATGTTTACACAACATTTTCAAAATTTTAGTGCTTCAAAATTAAAAGCATTGTGAATTTTGACCATATTTTTACAGTTGCAAACTTTTATGCTGTTCAATACAATTAAATTGATTTCAAATCCAATCAACCTATAAGAATTAAATTCCTACAAAAGTAAAAGGATTATAAATGTGTACAGACAAATGATCTCTAAAGGAATTAAAAGATGATTGAATTATCATTCAAAAATTATACCTATTAGTTTTTGTTAATGTGCTTCAAAACTCTGATACCTAACTGTCAAGGAAAATAGTGATTAATTTCTTCACAGCGCAATGAGTACTGTGCGAAGAGCATTCAAAACTTATATTATTTAAAATAGGGAACATTATTCTTAACAGAGTATTTTATATAGTACGTAATGACGATTTAAATTTTAATGGTTTTGGATAGTTTTAATTTTTAATTGGAAAGTTTTCTTTTCTCATAGAGAAAGTACAGGGTTCATGAAATGATAATAAGAAGTTTTACGATTCAAAAAATATGAAAAGTTACTACAACTTGTCAGCGGTTTATATATTAAAACTTTTATCTCTGGAACTATTATTAGACATTTTTTGCATTTCATATTTTGGTATATTCTACAGATCATTGTTTTATTACATCTGACTACAAGATTTTTCCTTAAATCTTTATTTCAATCTTCTTTAATTTTTCTTTTTTACCAAAAATGATACATTCGGAATTTCTATAATCAAAATTCTTATACTATACTTTAAACAGCAAACTTATTTAACTGCGGTAGCAAACTTTTAGCTACAACAGCCAAGTACCTCTATAAGCGTGTGCTTAATAGTTTAAATTCAATCGGTTTTCATAGAGCGCATTCACTAGCGTGCATTATCACTATCATGCTGTTCTCTCTCACTTGAATGAATTCATGACTTGTCTATACATTTGAACCTACCACCACAGAATGGTGGAAGTCACGCGTTTTAGTTTTCGGTTCTATAGGAATTTGCAATATTCAAAATCTTTTAAAACACTGAACAAAAATAATTGTCAAATTACAATTAAGATACTTTAAAAAATTTGTCGCAGTACCCTACACTTCTGAAAGATCTTATTTTTAGATATTAAAAAAGACACCTATATTTTTACACTATAAGCCTTTATTTCTTTTACTTTAATAACTTTAAACGGCTTTAATTCGAAACCACTTTGTTCTAATTTGACCAATTTTTTTACAGTGAACATCTAGAACATTGCTTATAAAAGTTAAAATTATATATAAAAAGAAAACTTCTATAAGTATTATTTTTAAATGCAACTAGAATTTTTCCTTTGCACATCAAATTTTCAGTCATTTTAAAGAAAGTTGAAAATTATTTCTAGTTTGACGTTATAAGATCGTTTTGCATTTATTTATCATGAGCATGTCTACCTTAGAGGATGTACTATTGGATTTACAGCCCCAGGGTCTGTGGAGATCGATTTCTCACGTATTCAAATTCGTTGTTTCAGATTTTTATAAACAACATTTAAGGCGTTTTATCATCGCATCTATTGTTCATAATTTAAAACAATTCACAGAAAATCAGTAGTTTTTATCCATTTTGAAGAGTGAAAAGAAGGAGCAACAGAATTAACCCTATATCAAATGTCAATTGTTTAAATAACTTCACATATAGGATATAGGTTAACCTCGTTTGAAGGAGTAAAAATGACCCAGCTACAAAAACTACACCCTATTTTTTACTGTGTTATTTAATAACATTTAAAATGCAATGTTAAATATTTACAAAATAACACTTTATATTCAATAAAAATGTGATGCTTAACTTTCTACTTTGTATGTCAAAATAGTCAAAGAATTAACAAAAATTTTAAATGTAGCTATTGTAAACTATAGACATAAATCAGACGGCGGAATCGATTCTGTCTTGCTCAGTGTTAGATTCAAAATTCAGAACTTTCACATCTCCCTATATCAAAGCAAAAAAGGAAATAAGAATTGGCTTACTATATGTATATACGTTTTTATCGGTTTGCAACAACTTTTCCACATTTTAGATCTGCCCTGGCTATAAAATATTAGTCTCAGTTAAGAGGATGTCTATGATATTTGCGTACAGCACAGTAGTGTTTATCGATACCTTCCCGGTTTGCACTTGTCTCGTGCACGGAAACATGCGTAAGACAGGCTCTAACTTGGAACATATCGAATGCTGCTGCGTATACGAAAATGGCACATTCATCAAATGGACGAGTTTTCAGTATATCATCTATTCAAATTTCGTTCAACATAATTTCAAGTTGTTCATTTTCTTAAATTATATAAAATGTTTGTTTCGGTATTTTTATTTATTAAAAATATTGTTTAGTTTATTGATGCTTTTATTCAAATGAAAAGCTTAAAATCAAAATAAAGTTTAAACTCTTCTCCCAATTTAATAACTTCTTCTATAATTTCTCTTACTTTTTAAAACGAATTATTCATACATAAATTATTACATATAAATCTGCTTGAATTTCTGTTTGCAATATTACGCGAATATTTCCTTTGGAAAATAATAATATTGAGTTTTTGTTACATTTTTATCAGATTTAAAATTTATAAGTCTTAAGACATATAGCTTTCATTGAAACCTCATAGGATCTCTTGACTGCAACGTCAAGGGATGGTTTGGGGAAGATTTCACAGAAAGCTTTAGAGAGGTTTCTCAGAATCTTCCAGTGCACGGAGAAAACGAATAAAGTATAACTTTTACTATTTTCAAAGTAAAACTTACACTGACAGAAACTTCTGCGCCTTTTTGTCAATTTTTACTATTTCTGGAGTAATAATTGTTATAATCGAAGTACATTTTTGGAAAAATTAGTAAAAATGCACTTCAAGCAAAATTAACTTTGAAAATAGTAAAATTTGACAAACATGCGCAAAACTGCCTGGAAATGTTAGGGGAATATATGTATAAACCTTAACAAAACCTGGAATAATCAGAAAATTTTTATTGGAATCCTGGAAAATTATTGTTTTTAAAAGTTAAATAAATAAGCTCAAGTTTATTCTTGAAATCTAATTTTACTTAAATATACAAATTTTTTATAAATTTCTTCGCAATAATTATCAATTATTTTCATTAAGTATATTTTTTATTTTATTTTCTAATATATATTTGATTAAAGAATTTCCGAGTAATCGATGAAATTTCGTAAAATTAAATTGTAAACAAATAAAAGAAGTGTAAATTTTCAAAGAAATTTTTTAAAAATTATTAGAAATAATTAATTTAAAGAAGAATTTTAGTTTTAAATTCTACAAAATAATTGAATTGAAATGAAAATAATTTTTATGAAGTTACAGTAACAATATTCTTATATTAATTATAAGATAATGATTTTATCAGTTGGTCATCTTTATAATTATTATAAAACATGAAGATATTGATTGCTTCGAGTCGAAGACTCGGAGTGATTGATTTCTTCATGATTTATAACAATTTTTTTAAAATTGTTTAATTTCAAAATGCTTTGAATTCGAAATTTTTGAAAATCTTAATTCTTATGAAAAAATAATAATGATTAAATATTTATTTTAAGAAAAAGCAATAGAACATTTTTCTATGAGTATAATCATTATTAAACTGAATGTGAATATTCTTTAAAGTCAAGGAAAAGTCAGGGAAAAACAAAATTAAATTTTTGTTGGCAACAAATGTAGTTTTTTTTATATTATAAATTTTTGAAATTTTTTTTTGAAACTTCCATGCATATATGTTTTCTTTGTGTAAGCTTCTTACAAGTTTCCAGTGGAAGCTTACTTTGGGAGGAATCAATCTTCTGGGAAAGCTTCCAGGTGATTGTCATGCTGTGCGCTTATCGTCTCTTTCTTCTACATTAGAGTTTATTATATTTATTGTTAATTTACTATCAACTTTAATAATTTTATTCTTGACTTGATCCAACATCTCACCCATATTTATTCGTTTTTTGCTCATCTCAGCAAGAGTTACAATTTTTTGAAAGATCTGTGTAAAATTGAAAATGAGATAGATCCACTTTAATGTACGTTACTTTAAAACAATAGTTGAAACAGTTTGTAACTTTTGTAATGCTTTTAAAAAAGTGGAATAAGTAAATGGGAGAAATCGTGATGCGAATAGCTGTGCTGACAAAAACTTATATACTATAAAGCTTAACAGTATCTATGGGTCCGAAAAGAGAGTATATTTTTAGATTACTGTTCAATTTTCCGTTCGACTCATACTTGGATCCCTCGAGCGACATTGCATATCAGTAGTAAAGGAGAAAGATATGGAAATTTTCAATTCGAACAAAATTTAAGAATTTAGCTGGTACGGGTAGAATCGCATAAGATGCAAGATATGTATTAAGCTAGCAACCAGAAAGGGTGACTTTCATGACAGAAAGGGGAGTATGTATGTGACGTGTGTGGCAGCCATTGCGAAAAGCTAAGAGTGGTTGCCAAGCAACGTCTTTTAACCCCCACATACTCACACCACTTTCGACCAACCTCCAAAAACCTCCTTGAAATCGCGGTTCATCGTCATGTATGCCAAAATTATACATCTGCCACGTTTGCTAGTCATGGAGTTTCAATTTTTATATACACGTCTCGCGTCTACTTAAACTTCACTAAATGTTCAAACAACACCTTGCGATACTTAGGTATCAAAAACCCCATCCGCATGCACCTGATTGCGTCTTTAACCCTGTCAACAAAATATTTTCAACTCAAAGTTCATATTTTATAAATCTAAATATAAAAACTACTCTTACTTATTCAT